ATTAATTCATAATAATCGATTTTTACAATTTAAATAATCAATTAATTAATTTTAATCGATTTTTACAATATAAATAATCGATTAATTCATAAAAAATCGATTTTTACAATTTAAATAATCCATTAATTCATAATAATCGATTTTTACAATTTAAATAATCAATTAATTCATAATAATCGATTTTTACAATTTAAATAATCAATTAATTAATTTTAATCGATTTTTACAATATAAATAATCGACTAATTCATAAAAAATCGATTTTTACAATTTAAATAATCCATTATTTCATAATAATCGATTTTTAAAATTTAAATAATCAATTAATTCATAATAATCGATTTTTAAAATTTAAATAATCAATTAATTCATAATAATCGATTTTTACAATATAAATAATCAATTAATTCATAATAATCGATTTTTACAACATAAATAATCGATTAAATGGTACTGACTTCGAACCACTGATCTGAATAAAATTCTAATCGATTTTTAGTAAGTAAATAATCGATTTTCTGCCACTGTTCATCATCTTCTTCCTCGGGTCAGTTTTAACATTATCATTTTTAATCACCAAACTTCAATTTAGTTATATAAAAATGTTCTCCAATGTTCACAGATCATTTTAGAGTCATTAATTCGTAATTTTAACAACAATTTCATGGTTTATGATTCTTGGTTCTTCAAACATGTCAAACACAAAACTCAACCAAATGACCGTTTATGAACGTAGAAATGATCTATATGAACATTCTAGTCACTAGATATATCTACGGGCTTACCTCGAAGGTAAATGAAGGTTTTGAATATTTTCCGGTGAAAGTTCCGGCGAACACTACGTCTTGCTCCGGCGACCTCTCACCAAATTGACAGCACCACTGCGTTCTCCTTACTTTGAGCAACAGAATAGAACAAGGAAGTATAGGTTTTGGTGAAGAATTAAGAATGCTTAGCTCCCTTTATATAGTAGATTTGAGGAAGAAGAAGACACTGGTTGCTGAGCGTAGGAAGATTCACAATCGGCTTAGTGCGCTGGGAGGCGCCGTTCGCACAGTGTCCCCGATTGGGACCAATTTTGGTTCCAATCGGGATACACTTTTTGGTCCAACTTTCTCCGAATTAAAATCCGTTTGCACCGTTGCGATCAGACAGTCGAACTCTATCCAACGATATAATTTTTATATTCATTCGTTATACTTTTTCTGACACCATATTTTTGGGTGTTTGACTTTAACAGAGTCAAAATTGGTTTAATTGACCTTTCTCATAAAAGGTTCTCTTATTTAATTCATATCAATTATTCTCATGATTTATTTTAACAAATCATTTAAATATTTACATTATAAAAAAAATTTTCATTTACTCTTGATTTGGGTCTGTACTCAGGTTTCCAATCAAGACCACACAAAAAGCCAATATATTGGATTTATCTCTATGAGATTTATCCAGAGTGTGATAATAGATATCAAAACATATTTCGTATCGGTCCAAAGCCCAACAACAATTTATTTTAATCAAAACAAATTTGTTTAATCGAATAATTATTTAATAATAATTCTAGGGTATGTTTCGGGGCGTTACAAAAGAAGTCTTTGGAGACATTTTTCAAAATGTTAAGGTTGCAGAACTCCTAGCCTCAAAAGCACAAGACAAACACGAGGAAAACCCTTTAGAAGATCACAGAGCCCAAGCCAATCTGGCAGCTGCCAAACTCATCCAAGCTTGCAAATTGGTTGAGCACCTTGCTATGCCAGGTATTAAGGTAGACATCAAAATGTTGGACAATTTTCTTACAATCTTCCTTCTTAACTTTCCATTTTCCAATGGTTGCCCCTAAGTAGGTGAAAGGTAACTTGCCCTCTCTCATATGAAGTGCTCTTTGCATATTAGCTTTGATTTCTGGCTTCACTCTCGGACCTGTGTAGAAATGGCTTTTGTTGAGGTTGATAAGATGTCCAGATGATTTAAGGAAACAATCCAGCAGCCCTTTGAACCTGAGCAAGTTTCTGAAATGACCACTAAGGAAGAAAATTATGTCATCCGCATATGCAAAGTGGGAGGGGGGATGGTTTCTCCCTGTATGAATGGCTTTTAATGAACCCTCCTCAACCTTCCCCTTATGTGTGTGTGTGTGTGTGTGTGTGTGTGTGTGTGTGTATGTATGTATGTATGTATGTATGTATGTATGTATGTATGTATGCATGTATGCATGTATGTATGTGTGTGTGTGTCTATATATACATATATATCAAACATTCTACCAAAAATACAAGCATTTTATTAGATAAAAGAGATAAGTACAAGAGGCATGCTGAGTAATTCCCAAAACAAAAAAAACTAATGTTTAAATCTGAGAAGTTATAAGTGAAAAATACTAATAACCTTAGGTACATTGTTCAAAAAAGCAACGATCATAATTAGTTTGCAAAGAAGCCATTCTGAGGTATGTGTCTCCAAATATGTCCCTGATAATTATGTCTTGAACAAATCGAACCATCACACAATGCTTCCTATAAAGCCATAAAAAAACTTGATTGTGTACAAATTACAATCCACTATCTTGGCTTTGTCAGTTCAGTCTTGGTAAAAAACGCTTGGAAAGTACAATATGGTATCTTCCCTGTTGTCAACATGCAGCTAACCATCGAATGCACAACATGTCAATACTCACAATAAGTAGCCAACTACAAGCAAATGCCTCATAAAAACTAACACTTACAGTCCCACAAACTAGGTACGTGTAACAACAAAAATACCTGAGAAAAGGGCTTATGAGTCAAAGGGTCGATTCCCATGTTCTTGGCCTTATTCAGCTTCAAATTCTAGTAGTTTTTGACGTCATTGTCTAACCTCCCAAGTAGACACCTTACTTTTAAGGACCACCTGATCATCAGATGGAAAGGTCAAATGGATTTTTTCCTACATTTGCATTTTGATAGACTGAAGAAACAATTTACCATGGAATTCATAGCTTTGAATCTTATGTGCTTCCAAATGGAAATTTTCCTACATCTGCATTTTGAGAGAGTGAAGAAACACTTTAGCATGGAATTCATAGCTTTGAATTCATAGTTTTGAATCTTATGATATTTTTCCTACGTAGATATTGATTAATAAATAAAGCACCTGAGTTAAGAATTGAATACTCTAATTGTGTGTGTGTATTATATTTTATATATATATATATATATATATATATATATATATATATATATATATATATATATATATATATATATAGTGTGTTGTGTAAGTTTTGGTTTCAACCTTCGGGACTTCGGTCTAGTCCTCCCCGAACGTGTAACTCTATGATTTTATCAATAAATTCGGTAAGGGTTGCCTGGACCTTACCCCACTGATTTTGGTGGTGTTTTTGGGTTTATATATATATATATATATATATATATATATATATATATATATGGGATTGACTCTGGTCAAATGATGAGTTTTGGTAAGATGACGGTTCCCA